CATTTTTGGAATCATCGTACTCGAAAAAGTATATAAACGGTCAAAAATTCAGATAAACAAAACTTTCCCTAAAATTTGCTGCACAGTAAGTCAGTAAGGATGTAGACAGTCATAATGCCAAATCCAAGAAGTTTTCCAGAAACTTTCAACAGCAGAACTTAAAATTAAACTTCCTAAATGTGTATTTTTAAAAACTGACTACACTCAACCAATTACTCTGTGTACCAATGCCTTAGGACAAGGAATCGGCGCTGTATTTACGCAGCTGGACACACGAGGAAAATTTAGAGCAGGGGTGGCCAACCTGTCGATCGCAAGATCTTCTCTAGTCGATCGCATGGCAAAGTTAAACTTAATGATCCATCCTTCTTAAGCTGCCATACAAAAATTCTCTTCAGATTTTACTCATAATCATTGGGATATTATATTTGTTTAGATTTTTTCAGGGAATAGATTATCATTATGGACACATCAGAGCGGTACATAAAAAAAAAACTTCAACTGTGCCATGCTGTGTGTGGCGGAACCTGATAGGAAGTGTTCGCGTTCATACGGGCCGGTGCTGGCTGGTTCCTGGTGAGAAAATTGATCAGCAAGTTGTCATCAGTTGTAGGCTAAAACTAGGCAGGTATTTGCTTTTATAAGTTTACAAATACACGTTACCTGGTAATTTGGCAATGAAAAAGTTGACTCGATGTTGAGGAGTCTTGTCAAAGGTAAAGAGAGAGAGAATCATATTTGGCAACCTTGCCAGCGAGCCTACACACTTGTCACCAACAATGCAGTGATTTTCAGTCATCTGCAATACTTGGAAGTGTGAGGTGCTGCCTCTTGTTATGGAAAAGTCTTGGGTGATTACAAGAATTACTGACTTTTTAGCTTAGCGACAGTTCTCGCCGCAACCCTAGAGTAGACAGAAGTGTCCACACTAGCCGATGACAATTGCTTATATAAAAAAGTTAAGAACGTTACACTGTTACGTTAGTGATTCTCATATTCATGTAAGACAAGTCATGGAAAAAAGTAATTCTCGTATTGATGTACGACTTAATCTTTTACAAATACTGTATAGGTTATTGGCCATCAACTGAACCAAAAATGAGTTCTGGACCAAGTACTAAAAATATCCAAATTTACCATTTTCACAATGAATGGGAAGATGACTACTTTTTTACCATGAATAATTTGAAGTGTCTGTGCTTGATCTGCCATGCGTCTCCAGCTCTAGCTAAGAAAGAAAATCCTGAAAGGCATTTCAAAAGTTTTCACAAGAAGGATGATATTGATTTCCCACCCAAAAGTGAGCTATGAAAGAGGAAAGTTCATGAACTGAAATCACAGCTTACTGCACAACAAACTCTTTTTACAGAAGCGAGCTCAAAATCAAGGGTAGCAACCATTGCATCATTCAGGGTGAGTCGAGTGCTTACTAAGCACAATGCCGGGTAACAGCCATTGTTGCATTTGTGCTAGCCAGAACCAAACTTGCACTAGCTGTGACTGTGCAAGAAACAACCAACCATGTGTGGTTTGCAGAAAGGGAAACAATTGCCAGAATCCCCATGGCAGGGAGCCGACACAGGAGGCCACAATGGATATCATCCGGTCACAACCGCCCGATGATATCCTGAATGATAGCATTGAGTCTACTCAACCTGAAACTGTCGTGCCAATAAATGCTGCTCCAACAGTAGCAGATGTCCACGAGGTGAATGACAGACAGCCACCACAGTGGAATGGCATGTCGATGGAAAATACGGACATATGAGTTTAAGAAACTTACCGTACACAGAAATTGTCAGGTGATCACCAGCTAACCTATTTGAACCACCCAAGTGTGCGGCCACCAAAGAAATGATTCGGGAGATGACTCGCCTCATAACTGAGTATACTCAGGACTGCTTCCTTGCCCCTTTAGCTCTTCAAATACTGGCAATAATACCCCATCTATTCTGTCAGAGGACACACAAAGAAAATGTGGCAGCAATGAAGAGAAGATTGACAATGTGGCAGAATGGGGCCCTTGATGATCTCCTATGTGAAGCAAGAACACTGCAGGAGAGACTAAATTTTATAGGAGACGGAAAGCAAAACACCAATGACATTGCCAGAAAGTTTGGAAACAAGATGTGTGTGGGAAAACTGTCTTTGGTGGTCAGAGCTCTCACAGAGGAATCCTCCGGTGGTGTCCTTCCAATAAACAGAGAGACATTAAAACAACTGAAGGAAAAACATCCCCTTACAAGTGAGGAGGAAGACATCACGTTCCAGGGTGACTATATCCCTCCAAATGCTGTCATGTTCGAGATGCAAATGGTTGGAGAGTCATCCTCAGCACTAACAAGTTTGACGACGTAGCAATTGATCTCTGCAATGCCATTGCCGCCCTTGCAAGAAAGCTAGCAACCTCGTGCTGCCACCACCACCTCCATGTTCTGACGGCCTGCCACCTCATTCCCCTGGATAAGAATCCAGGATGTAGGCCTATAGAGGTGCGGGAAGTGCTGAGGAGTGCTGAGGCAGATCATCGGAAAATGCATAATGGAGGTGGTAAAGAATGATGTCAGGGCAACTGCAGGGAACCTGCAAGTATGTGCTGGCCACCATGCTGGAGGGGAAGCTGTTCCAAAACACAATAAAATTTGAAACAACCACAGTCAAGCAAATAGCGTAGGCTGACGACCTTACAGGAGCAAAAAAAGTGGAGGACATCAAAAAGTGGTGGGACCTATGGTCCACAAAATACCACCCAAATGCCTGCAAGTCCTTCCTCATTGTGAAGCCAGAACACTATGAACGGGCAGTGGAGGTGTTCGGTGGAAGTGAGGTCAATATAACAAAGGATGGTCAAAGACACCTAGGTGCAGTAATCGGCACGTAGGACTTGAAGACCGAGTACGTAACGTGAAAGGTAAATGAGTGGGTCAGGGAAATCTAAGCTATGTCGGATATTGCTAAAACACAGCCACACGCGGCTTTTGCAGCATTCACCCATGGAGTCAAGCATCGCTGGAACTACCTGATGTGCACTATCCCTGATATTGGATCCCTCCTCCACCCTCTGGAAGAAGCCATCAGCATCAATTTAATTCCCAAATTAGTGAAACACCTTCACTTAACCCCAGCAGTAAGGTCAATCCTTGCACTACCACCAAGACTGGGAGGAATGGAATTGACCAATCCAGAGGAGATTGCTGCCACCGAACATTAAAACTCAGTCAAGCTCACGGCAGCCCTCACCTACCACATAATAGCTCATAACGCAACAGGTGAGGTGGATACCAGCAAAGTAAACAAGATTCGACGGTCCATTACAACAGAACGACAGCACGGCCAAAGTGATAAGTTGCAGCAACTGATGCTGCAAGTGCCAGAGAATTTGAAAAAAGGTAGCTATAGCGCAGGAGGTGAGTGCCTCGAAATGGCTAACTACGTGACCGATAAGGGTAAAAGATTTCAGTCTTAACAAACAAGAATTTACAGATGTCATTGCTCTAAGGTACGGTAGGTCAGTAGAAGGTTTGCCCTCCCAATGCATGTGTGGCTCTTCCTATGATGTCGACCACGCCACGGTGTGCAAGAAAGGGGGCTTCGTATGCATGAGGCACGACGAAGTAAGGGGTCTCACTGCAAATATGTCGTGATGTCAGGGTAGAACCGCCTCTCCTTCCATTGGATGGTGAGAATTTCCAACCTAAGAATTCAAACACATCCAACGAAGCCCGTTGATGTCAGTGCTCATGGATTCTGGAAATGGGGACAGGGAGCCTTCTTTGACATAAGGATTTTTGATCCCATGAGCGCATGTCACAGCAACCTAGCTCTCGATGCTGTACACAGGAGGAACGAGAACGACAAGATTAGGGCATATAGGGAGAGAATTCAGAATATTGAACAAGGGAGCTTCACTTCTCTGGTGTTCACAACATCTGGTGGGATGGGACCAAGTGCAAGAAGCTTCTACGACAGACTCGCGGAGGTGTTATCCGAACAGAAGCAGCAGCCCAGAAGTTATGTTACAGCCTGGTTGAGGTGTTGACTGTCTTCTCTCTGCTTAGGTCTGCATTGCTCTGCCTCAGGGGAACGAGAGCATCGACCCCAAACCGACAACAGTTGCAGATATTGACTACGAGGTAAAAGTCACTGAATGCCACAAGGATCTGCGGCTCAACTAACTCAACACAGCTAGGGTAGCTACTTATGTATTAGGATAGTTAATTTTAACGTAATAAAATGGTGGCGAAGGTGAGGCTATTGGGGGAGGCTGGAGGCCACGAAAAAAAAAAAGTAGTAGTAGTAGTAGTAGTGTGAGTGTGAGTGTGTGTGTGTGTGTGTGTGTGCGAGACACTGTAGTACGAGGTAAACAACACTAATTTGTAGTCAGTAGGAGGTACAGGACACTTGTTTTGCTATGATATTATTGTTTACACTACTGTATTAACAATAATATCTACTGCTACAGTAATTGATTATGATAATAAACATGTGCTTGGGGTTAAGGTAGAAATACATGGTGAAGTGAGTGAAGTCAAGGGCGAGATGCCTTCATCACAAAAGCTGAGAAGCTACAAAAAGAGACTGGGAGGCTCCCATGTGTGAGTGAGTGAAAGATAAATACCTTCTTGGCAACATAAGCTATTCAGGACTACCCTTTTTACTCTAATAGGCCAGCGAAAGATCAAAATGTTATATGACATGACCCGAAGCTCTCTATAAGCATCATATGCATATCATATGGGTTAAACTTAAAATACAGTACAGCAATTAATGATTGCGAAAGTGATGACAACCAGAAGTGTCTGTTATTAAGGGATTAACAGTGTACTGAAGGGGTAAACCTGTCGTATTCAAGGGTAAAAATATCTTACTCAGTGAACGGATTCAGAGTGCTCAGCAGAAAGACATTGTACTGAAGGATTTAAGGGAAGTTTTGAACACCAACACCACAAATACTTGACTTGTTATCATAATGACTAAGTGGGGGAAATATTCACAATTACCTGTGAGCTCTTTGAGTGGGCTTCAGGACAGTCGGGGATAATCTTGGCCAGACGACATATCCAGGTGTTGATTTTGTCTCGTCTTCTGCGCTCTACCTCATTGTGTGTAACCCGACGCTTCTCCTCACGAGTGGAACCTCCAAACCTCGGGCTCATGACACTTTCACTGGTTCGAGGAGCAAGATTTCTTGGTGTAGTGTTAGTGAGAACGTCACTTATTACATAAAACTGACCTGCAAGTAGGAGCAAAAATGTCAGCTGGAATTCACTCATTTATGAAGCAAATATAATCTGAATGCAAAGGGCCAAGTGGCCGTTATGTGGGGAAAAAGAAATGAAAATAAGAATCAGTAACCTTAAACTTGGACGCTGTATCCCCAAAAGCAACAATAACCCTTTATTATCCTCAAAGACAATATTAATCTCCTGGGGTCTCCAAAGGTAACACAGGGTTGGTGATTTTCTGACTAAAAATTTAAAAAATTTATTCCAGGGTAGTTTGAGTTGATTAGTAAGCCTTGAAATAATTAAATACTTTTAGAATATTTAAAACGTTAATTACACGGTGCCCGTAGGTTTACATCACCTTTACAGTAAAGCCTCTGATAACAATGGTTTGACCAACAACTTTTCATATTTAAAACCCGAGTTAATTTAGGACCCAGTTCAATTTACATCCTAATTTCATTCTTATTTATGACCAAAATATAATACAAATATAATTAAATTTTCATATAAATAATAACTAAATCCTGATATGTAAAAAAAAAATTACTATAAAAAAATGAAGAGCGCCTTGCGCAAAGAAGCTGCCTGGCTAATGAATGTTAAACAACCTTCGGAGCTTGGCGGGCCTTATGTTTTCACACATCTGGAACAGAAACAGGAGAAAAACTTTCTCAGGTTTCTTATAGCATTTTTGCATCCCTATTCAACATGAGCAAGAGAGCAAATGATGGTAGTGTTGGTTCAAAAGCTAATAGAAAGTGTATAAGCTTAGCCGCAAAACTAGATGTGTTAAAACAATATGAAAAAGGTGAGAGGTCTGTGGATATTATATGGAGCAGGCAATGAACATATTTTCTGAAGTGGATACATTAACAGAACAAAACATTAAAATTTAAATAAATGCAAATGTCCTCTACAAAGATGTATAATGAGAAAAGAAAGCAGCTGTGCAAGGTTCTTTCGACAGCTTTATTATTCGAAGGCCTAAACCATTAACTTCAGCTACACCATCAAATTCAGCATCATAAGCAGTTTCAACATCAACTTCAGGTTCAATAACAGTTTCAGCAACAACTTTATGGAAAGCTACAGCTTCAGCCAGAGTTGAACCTGATGACTTCATCATCTGAGTAAAAACTCGCACAATATTCATCGGCTGTCCTTATGTTTAAGACTTTACCACCATTAGTTAGTAGAATTTTTGTTTTACATTCGTAAATATTATTTAAAACATATATGAACAGTAAATAAGTGTTGCTTTCATATGCTCATGTAGAGAAATGACGATATGTTTTCACATGTACGCACTTACTGTTCATATGTTGGCGTTCCCAATCGTCTTGCCTTATTTCTTTACCATTAGTGGTTAGCTACTTCTAGTGTTCCATTTATTAACATTAAATAACATTACTTAAAACAAACATACAGGTATTAATTTTTTTTAATTAAGTTCACTACAACTACAACCAGGGTCTTATTTTCTTCAGTTTCTTATGTAGAACTCACGAAAACAATCCGTTTTGTCTCTTGTGTGTTTTAATATTCTACGTATTAATGAATTGCATTGTTCATTTCGCATATACAGTACTGTATAAACATTAATTCAATCACATACATATTCAGTAATAAACAATAATCAATCTTTTGTACATATTCTTAAGACAAATGACTGTTTCCTTGAGTGCGCATGTACTGTATACATTGGCGTTCCACAATAAGTCTCATTTTTTCTTTAATATCAGTGGTTACTTCTACTGTACATTAAATAACATTAATTAAAACATACATATTTTTTACATTAATTTTACAGCAACAACAACCAGGCTCTTATCCTCTTGTGTTTTAATATTCTACGTATTATTAATGAATTGTATTGTTCATTTCGCATATATAAAGATTAATTCAATCCAATACATATTCAGTAATAAACAATAATGAATCTTTTGTACATATTCTTAAAAAGATAAATGACGCGGTATCCTTAAATGCACACATACGTATATGTTGGAGCTCCCATTCCATCTTTTTTTTTTCTTTGCCATTAGTGGTTAGCTACTTCTATTGTTCCATTTATTAACATTAAATAACATTACATAAAACATATATATTAAATTTTTTACATTAATTTTACTACAGCTACAACCAGGGTCTCATTTTCTTCATTTTCTCGTGTGGAACTATCGTCCCGGACTCCCGGCTGTAAACACAAACGAAAACAATGGCGTCCCATCTCCTCTTGTGTGACCATATTATTTATTTATATTGTATAAGGTGCATTTTCATTAATTATATTGTTTTGGGGGAAAAGAGGGTAAAAAGCCACACAAAAGATATGAAAAGGTCACACTTGGGAATGCATCTCATTATTATTGATTTATTTTAATGGTAATTAATGATTCACAATAAGACAATTCACCTTACACTGCAATATTGGAGGACACATTGACATCGTTATTCGAGGCTTTACTCTATGTGCATTTTTTTTAGTGGCATATGACTACAAAAAAATGGATTTTGTATAAATTTCATACAAAGGTAATCCTTTATGTGCTGGTCAAGGACCTCCATTCAAAATTTTCTAATTACACTTTGGTTCTCAGTGCAGCACTGTCACTTACTGAACACTTAGGGGCACTTTAATGCAGATAAAAAAATTAGTCCAACATGATACACAGCAGAGCTGGCAGACATCGTGGTGAACTTGTGTTTGAAACAACAAAATTTCAGATTCCACACAGTTGTTTGAAATAATTAGTTTAATGCTTGGTGATGATACTCTTTTCTTTTCAAATTTAGTAGTAAAGATGTTTGTGAATAATTTTAATACAAATTAAAGTATAGTCGATAATTATATTAAGAAAAGATTTTTTACCATAAAATTAAACCACCAGTCGACGAAACAGACAATGAACTACTGTACTGTACGCTGTATGACAGAGGTGTCATAAGTGACATACAGTTGGAGAAACTAACCCCAAAAGATAGATATTGTTAAAATTATAATTCATTTATTAGTTTAATTTTCAAATAACAAATTAACAAAAAGATGAATGAGGACTAACCTGTATTTCATGTTTTCTTCTTAAAAAGGCAAAATCTGCTTATTCATAGCAACTTTATTATACCAATTATGTTTAAGTCTATGTATACTTTATTAATACAACTTACCTCCAGAAACCACAACAGTGCTACCACCATCTGAGGGCACGTCACTGGAGGTTATGAGTGCCAACCTGGTTTCTGGAGAATCACTGGGTGAGCCGTTTGGTTGAGCATTAGTCGCCAGGAGGCTGGGAACAGAAGCCTGTACTCCTCCCTGTTGTATACCATCAACAGCCCCGTCTGGGGAAAACTGCACTACTCTGTAAGCCAGTGTACCTGCAACAAAATAAATCTTTAAGTTCTTAAATAATAATTATTTATATAAAATTACCACAAAATTTCAATTATGTCATGAAAACATTGGATGTCTGCACTTTAAATGAGAAAACAGTTTTCTTTTTCAATAACATATGTATTGAATTTACAGGTATTTTTATTCACTTCACTCTGTCAGATTTCTAACAAACTTCACTTTCAGTAATAATACTAACAGTTATCAAGTTTGTCAGGAGACTTTATCGAAAATTTTAAGAATCTAGATAAATATTTACTGTATTCTGTAGCAAAATTCTGTACAGAAAAATGTCATATTCACAATTTTAGGCATTTGTGCTACCACTATGGCTTCTTTGAATACTGTATATACTGTAAACATATGCACAGTACTACAAAGAGCAAGGACTACCTGAGTGCTCTGACTCAGGACGAAGAGTAAAGCCAGGAGCAAGAGCAAGTGAAGAATCCCTCACACCACCTTCATCTATGCCCAGTCGTTGAGCTAGTGCAACCTTCTCGTCCACAATGCCCAGTCGCTGAGCAAGTGCAACTTTCTCGTCCTCAAGGCCAAGTCGCTGAGCAAGTCCAACCTTCTCGTCCTCACAGTCACAATCCTTGTCCCCACTGTAATAAGTTAGAATATTTTAGCTATTGATCTTCAAATTATTTAGGTGTTCATGTACAGGACAGTATATCAATATACAGTACTTCTCACTGGTGATTTAAATTTACTGTTGCAGTATATCAGTCTTGCACACATGACTACTCAACATTATATCATATACACACTGATGCTGTTTCCTACTTTAATTTATAATCATCTTACACTGACTTCTTAGAACAATATGTATGTATAGAACAAAAACTTTACCTTTACTTGAGCATATACATTATCTAATTACAAAATTCCTCAGCGCTGTAATTATATACCATACTTGGAATAATGCTGTCAAATCATGAATGTGTAAAAAAGTACAGAGACCAAAGACCTTCACAAGTTTATCATGGGTTACTCCTTAAAGTTAAACAATACCCAACACATGATGTACAGTAGACAGGCAGAAAATTTTGAGAAGTTTTGTTCACCAAAATAAGAACAGTATTCATTAAAATCATATTTCATTCTTTACAGGAAGGCCACCATAATTTTCACAGCTGTATAATGGCTTAAATACCTTCTGACATTATTATTATTAACCAACGAAATGACCATAGGGTAGATTTAGTTGGTTCGTGTTTTCTGCTACAGTACCAGAAGTGGATTTGGCCTACAGCCTCCAATGCAGATGAAATGCTGTTGTTCCTATAGAGATTTAAACATTCCTTTTGTGAATTCACATTACGATGATAATAAAGGGCACAGCATCAGTGAACAGCCTATTAAAAATCCTGTAAAATTTCAGAATTTTTTTAAGGGATCTTTGCTGTTACGTTTGGTCTAATGCAAATAATACAAATAGAGGGAGAAGCAAGGTGTACTGTATATGGTATTGAGGTGATGAAGTCCATTTTTTCAAAGGTCCATAAAATGCATGTGAACTAGTCTGTTGATGATCACAATGGAGATTATTGGATTAAAGTTTATACCAGGGGTTCCCAAGCATTTTCCAGTGCAATCCCAAGCCATTACATATGCTGTATATATGAGGATTCTTAGAGTAAATACGTACATACATATTGATATATGTATTTAACTATAAAAACAATTAAGGAAAATGTATTACACAACTGAGATGTCTAAAAGTAATCACCGACAGAAACAGGATACAATTCTGTCATGCTTAATATGTGACACTTTTCTTTGATAATTTAATGTTCTATACCTGGGGATACAATTAAATAAATAAGCAACCTAACATACAATTTTCTTAGTTACAACTATGTCATACAGTAAGTATTTCGTATGTGACATGTGTGCATCATCATACAGTAGAAGTCCAAAAATCCGGACTACTTGGGGATTGGGTCGGTCCGGATTTTCGGATTTTCCGGATTCTCAGGCAGTACTTTTAAAATTCAAATTTAAGGAAGAATAAAGAAGAGATGAACAGGTACATTTTGATAATTTATTCATTAGCAAATATAGCATGCTTCAAAATGAGCAGTTTTAAAGAAAAAGCTTTGAATTCTAGAATTTTATTCTTTGTCTTTTTTATATAATAAATTGTAGACTTTCCAATGTGGTATGTTTCCATTAGAGCAGTATTGCTGACACCACGTTCTAGTTTCTTAATTATTTCAAGTTTGTCACTCAATTTCAACGTGTTCTTCTTTCTCTTCACACAACGAAGTTTATCTACTTTAGAAGCCATTATTATGGGCTTGTACTCTGTACATGGAAAGAGTAGGACTCAAAATTACACATGTTGTCACAGTTTGATTGCTCGTTTTAAAGTGGCAACTACGTGGTCGCTTGTAGTCGCTGTGCAGCTGTGGCGCTCACGCAGGCGCACATACACACAAAAGCCCGCTAAAAAAAAAAAAGTTTGAGTTTTCGAAAAGTCCGGATTCTCGGGTGGTCCGGATTTCTGGCATCCGGATTTTTGGACTTTTACTGTATAATTAATTTTCAATACATGTTACATGTCATAATTCATATGTAACGTGTGTGCATTTTCATAAAAAAAATCTTTTAGCTGGGAGTATATGTGATTAAACAACATAGAACACAATTCTCTAAGTTTAAGTTAGATATACGGTTGCGGTAATCATTCTTTTATTAACACCACTGACAGGAAAGCTGCCTCACAGACACAGGAGCTTCCAAATTGTATCAGAACCTTGATAGTTTTATTTTTAATCGCTGAATGTCAATTTGATAAATAACCCAAAACATTGATATGTCATCAAAGAGGGCAAAATTCATCCTTGCCTCGTTGTCAGCCTGTAATTCTGCTATTTCGAGGACAAAAGAGCCACACTGTTTTATATCTGTCGAACAGAAACTGAACAAAATCCAAAGACTCAATAAGTAACTCAGAAATCTAGCACTGAAATTTGCTGCAATTTTTTGCTGCGTAACGTGTTATCAGTGTTCGCCTTCCCTGGACTGACCAGACTTGACAAAATGAGAGTAACTGCCTTATTCCCTTGACTATAATTCATGGTCCCGACTTAACGAGACAGCACCTGGGCCACGTTCTTCAGTCCTTGACACCTGGACTATGAGCTCTATGGGACCCCATCGACCCCATAACCTCTATGCAACCCCTTATGATGCATCTTGCTGGGGTCGCGACCTCATGTTTGGGAACCACTGGTTTATACAGTAAAAAGGTTGATGAACACCTCCACCAAACCTGACCTTTACAATCCTAGTTGGTTGTGATCACTGTATTATTGTTTAATTTCACAAATTATGCATTGTAGATCAGTCCTAAGGCTCACAATGTGATTGTAATTGTCAGTCAACCCTTGCTTTACGCGTTTCCACGTTTACGCGGTACCCTGCCGAAACCGGAATGCTCACTTTCCGCGGTGTGTGTACCCTTTTACGCGGAGAGCGGCGCAAGCAGGGTGCGCACAAGGTCGCCCAGTCATCAAAACATTACCGAGTTCTTCACCCGCCACCCACCACAGCCGGCCCAAGTCAGTGATAATGATAATGATAGTGAGGATATGGACTTATATGGACTTTGAAGGGTTTGACAAAGAGGCCCTGCAAGCCTCTGTGGTGGATAGTGATACAATTGATACAAGTGATACAGGTGAGGGCCAATAATCTGCCCTCTGCCTCGGAACCAACCCCCATCCCCGTGTGCCCGGCCATCTTTTCTACTAATGTAAGTGTTAAAAAACCTAATATTATTGATATTTCTCTTAATTATTAATTGTGTGTGCACACCATCATAAAATTAAGAAATTATTTTTACTACAATGTAGGTATTGTGTCTGAAAAAGTGGAGTTTGGGGGTCGGCCCGGTCTCTATTTCAATTAATCCCATATGTTATGTTGTTCACTTTACGTGTTTCTCACTTTACGCGGGCCGCCATGGGTTCAATTGACCGCGTAAAGTGAGGGTTCACTGTGGATGAGAAGGAATACTGTACTGTGTAATTCATAAGGACAGTTAAATTATGATTTTTTTAAGTTTACAAGGATTTATATTTTGATAAATGTAAAGAACATGCCATAATTAACATTAAAAGTTTACCAATCTCTTCAGAAAAGTGCATAAACTAGATTTCAGTTGGCTTTTCTTAATAACAATCCACAGACCAGCTGTTCTAGTGCAATTCCGAATGTGAGAATTTATTGCCACTGTGTTTACACTATGGTGTAACTCACTCTGCACGCTGACGATGAAAATGTAAGAAAGAACGGTGAGCGCTATTTTTAGACTATCGGAATGGTTCTTTTCACGGAAAGGAATTCTATTTTATAAGAAATATTTAGGAAAAACTGTAATTGTAGTGTTTTAGGCTAGGTTAGGTCTGGCTAGTTAGTGTTCTTCATTTTATGAATAAAAAATTACCAATTGTAAAAATCTTTAGCCAGCTACAGAATATTACTTACATTTTGGGTGCCAATGGCACTGTATTTGAAATAATATTTACCTGAATTTTTTTTCATTAGTTTATGAGGAAACCACTGTCACCAAAAGAAGTCGTTCAATTTTGTTCATTTTTCTCTATCTACGATCATAAATCACCTGTAGTGGGCAGTGCATGAAGGATGAGGGAAATTGTAAGAAGAAAACACAAAGTTCCCAAGCGCTTTTGTGTCATTCACATCTTCACGAAAGCGCTTGGGAACTTCGTGTTTTCTTCTTTCCTTGTGGTTATCAGCATATATATATATATATACAGTCAACCCTCACTTTACGCGGTTAATTCAACCCACAGGGTACCGCGGAAAGTGAGATACGCGTAAAGTGAACAACATAACATATGGGATTAATTGAAATAGAGACCGGGCCGACCCCCAAACTCCACTTTTTGACGACACACAACTATGTTGTAGTAAAAATATTATCTTAACTTTATGATGGTATGCACACAATTAATAATTAAGAGAAATATCTGAGTTGTAGATGTTAGGTTAGGTACATGCACTTGATCTATTAACTCAGATTAAATTAAGTTTACCAATTTTTTGTGACTTTATGACACCAAATAATAATCGAGAAAAGATTCACAGCCCGATTTACGCTTGTACGACCATCATTTGACTTCATTGCGGCTACATTTGGGTAATTAGTCGCTCCCTCGGTACATGCACGCGATCTATTAACTCAGATTAAAGTAAGTTTTCCAATTTTTTGTGACTTCGTGACACCAAATACCAGTCGAGAAGTAATTGGCATTCCGATTTATTCATGTAGCACCATTATTTGACTTCATTGCGGCTACATTTGGGTAATTAGTCGGACCCGAAATTTGTCATAAGTTCTAGCAAAATATGTTGTATATCTTACATCACTTCAACACCATAGTTTTTTCTATGTCTTACAAGAGTTCAACAAGATATACCATACCTTATCTATCAAACTCTCAATTACCTTCTATCATGTAGGCAGCTACAAGTGTACGAAGCTTCTTGAACCCCCTGAGCTCTGACATGTACCTCAGGTGTTAATAATGACGGAGGTAGTTAATGGTGGAGGCTGGTGAGGAGAGGTAGCCTCCACACCTGAGCTAATGACTTAGTCCTCCTCATCACCACCATGGCAGCAGCATAATGTCCTCACCTCCACCACCATCCCCGGGACCAACACGACTCCTACACCCACCTACCTGCTGTCGAGGGTGGTCTCTATCATGTCCATGGAGGAGGAGTGTTCGTGGGTGGCGGGCGATGGTTTGTTTGGTCACGGGACCAGGGAAGGTCATGTGAGCTCTGCCGTCACTGTAATGGTTCACCCACACCACAACATACATTCCGCTCAATAAAATATCCCATCCTATATTACTTTTATTACTTCTACAGTCGTCCATAAATATGCTTAAATTTATTTATTTCATTAAAATATTCTACTTTGAAGAATGTTTTAAAACATTAGTTAATATTTCCATTTAAGTTTGGATATATTGTCATCGGAATAGCGTCCTGTCTGAAGCTCACTGCCAGATGTTTCTTTATGGACATATTTTGCATTAAAGCTATCAAATGTAATATCCTCCAAGGTCAAAACAAATAAATCTGTGTTTTACGATGTCACTATCGATAAAATATACAGTAGATACAAATACATAAATAGATTTAAAATTCCTTAGCAGATAACATAACTTCTCACTTTCTATCAACTATTTGTTCAAGGAGAACGGACCCGAGGCTAGAGGGAGGACCACACTCTGTCTCCCTTGGGGGAACCATTAAACCGATTCCAAAAATTTTCTCCTAGAATGCAGAAAAAGAGCTAAACGTATTAAATCTACATTGAAAGTTTTAATTAATTTTTATATTCAAGTATACACGGTATATTATTTATTTATGAAAGAGATTTGAAGTTTTAAACCAAAGTCTTATTTCCATTGTGGAAATCGTGATAAAACAATAAACGTGTGGGGTGTGGGGTTTCAGGATGTTTGGTTCACACTCAGGATGGGATGGAGAAAGGAAACTCACAATGTGCTCTCTATATACATGTTGTATTGGATGTACAATGCAGCTTGGTGCTGGGAAGGCAGCATGGTTACAAGCGTGATGTAGAGAGAGCTGGTTGGTGAGGATGCTCAGAGGAGGACCAGCTTGTGGGTCGCCCTGCTCGCCGGCGGGAGAGAGGACCGCCAGGCAGGCGGAGGAGGATGAGGAGGTGTTGCTGGCTGGTTGGTGTAGGTAGAAAGAGTGATCACCACGAGGTCAGGTCTTAAATAGCGGGGTAGGCGTGGCTTAGCAGTTGACCCCCGCTCCGTGGTGTATGGCGGCGCTGGTTGACCTTGACCACGAGGCATACACTGGGGAATTGGTGGGGTCGGCTAGGCAGCGACAAACAGCGTTTGTAGGAGAGAATTCCACTACAAACGCATTGCATACTGTAGTCTTGTATTGACTGCTGTTCATATTTGTAATTAATATTATAATTTACCATATAACCATATAACAAAGCGTGTTCGGTATTCGGGCCTTCGTTGTTGAGCGGCAGAAATTGGACAGTGATTACAATTTAGGGTTGCCATACGTCCGTATTTTCCCGGACATGTCCTCCATTTAGGTCTCGAAATCTTCATCCGGAAGTAATTTTTGAAATTCTTCAAAAATCCGGAATTTCAGCTCCCTTTTCTCCGCGGAAAAAAAACATGAAACTGTAATGATGAGAGAGAGAGAGAGAGAGAGAGAGAGAGAGAGAGACTGTGAGAGAGGGGAGGTGGAAACCGAAGAGATCTCGTTCAGTTTTCGTCAGCTGATAAGTCACGTGTACGCCTGTACGGTGTTGTCAACTTAGTTGCTAGCAGTTTTGGGGCTAGCATGAAGTGCCATGATGTACTGCTTTTCCTTGTTCTTCAGCCACGCGCATTATTATATTTTTTTGTATTTAGTGTGAAGGGGATCCTATCCCCTCCAACTGACGACTGAGCCCCCGCGCGCTTACCAGCCAATCAGCGTACAGCAGTTCAAGTTTAGAAGCTCCAAAAGTTGTTGGTAGCGAAAGTCAGAGCGGGGAAGATGACAGAGGAAGGAGCAGGAGGTTAGAAAGGGATTTGTAGTGGGAGTACAGTCAGCGATGCTGGTAGACCTACTATCCAGTGCGGACGCACACGTAGCAACGCCAGGATCAGGGTGCCGGGGGTACTTCCGGCATTCTCCTCTGTGATTGGCTCTCGCATCCCAAATCCTGATGTTTCAGAATTGTATAAATACGGGCGTGGCTAACCTCCTCTCATCATGAACGGTTACGAATACGACAAGGTGGCGCGGATACGCCCGACTAAGCCGACCTGCCCCAAGAAATTAAACCTCCCAGTTCTCAAGAAGTTCTTTGAAACTAAAGGGATCGTGAGGGTTACCAAGGTGGAACGACTGAAGCTGCATGGAGACATCAAAATCACCTTCGCCGAATATGGTATGCCCATGCAACTCGCGGAGATCCCCGACATCAACGGCATCCAAATAGAAATGATTGCCCACGATTGGGACAACCTGAAGCTGGGAGTTATCTCCCACGCCACAATTGCCCACGTGGACCAAGAAGAGCTGGACGAACTACTCAAGGGACAACTCAAATGTGACAAGAAGCTGTCCGACACCACTGCCCTCGTCGGACACCACGAAACCCTACCCAAGGAGGCTCAACTGGGGTGGGTAACTGTGCCAGTCAAGCCTTACTGCAGACCCAAACGCTGCTACAAATGCTAGCACTACGGTCACACTGTCAACAGGTGTGAGACGCAGGAGGACGCCTGCTCCCTGTGCAGGAGCCCCGGACACCGCTACACCATCTGCCCTAACACAGTGAAAAAATGTGCTGCCTGTGGCGGCCCACATTCCTCCGCCGACCTGACCTGCCCCAAATGGAAGGAGGAATGCAGGATAGCCAAGGCTTGTGGGGTACCTGATGTTTGGTTCACACTCAGGATGGGATGGAGAAAGGAAACTCACAATGTGCTCTCTTCCCTCATCCCATTGTAATTTCCCTTGTAATATTTGCACCTTGGCCTGGCCTTATCCTGAACTAGGTAACAGTTACATCTGAATGACAACACCATATGGTGACTGGTGCCAACTGGGGCAAGGTGTTCCAGTTTGGCCACCATACTCTCCTCGTTTGTTATGATGAGGTCAAGTGGCTTGGGTGTCTGCTCCCCTCTGTAATGTGTCGGGTCTCTTACATGTTGGCAGTTGTGGCGTTACCACCCAAGGGGACAGACGTGCCCATAGGTGCTCTCGACTTCCCGATCGTCCCACCAAGGTCCCCTCAGCCGGCAAGTTTTGCCAGCATGGGGGGTCGAAATAAACGTCCCAGAAGAGGCTCTCTCATAGACGCAGACGCAGACATCTCTGATACTGATGCCATTACCAACTAGCCTGGTCATACTGAATCCAACACCCTTCAAGAGTCAGACCCCAGTGATTATGACAGTGACCCTATCACCCTGCCCTCTGCCAAATAAACAAGTAAGCTGAATCTCCACTTCCCCAAGGACTCTCTGAAAACTGTCGAGGAACTCTTTAATTGGATGATGAAGTACTGCAGACAGCACGGTTTCAGCATTGAATTCCGACAAGGTAAGAACCGGAACTTTATCAAGTGTCAGACTTCTGAGGCCTATGAAACACTTAGTACTGTTGGCTTTGATGGGGTCGTCCTTCTGCCCCCCCCCCCCTGTAGACGCGGATGAATGTTGCCACATCCTAGTGAAACGTTTCCCCTTATACGCTGACCATCGAAGATGCGCGTGACTTTAACTCTAGTATACTGAGTATACGTCGCCATTACCGGGGGAGAATTCCACAACCCGCTGTCATTGTCAAGTGGAAGGGAAGGGAGTGCCCAACCACTGTGAATGCCCACCCACTCTTACCCCCACTGTATGCAGAAGCCTATCATCCTGAGCCTGCATTTTGTGTTGTCTGTTCTCATTGGGGTCACAACTTCACTGCCTGCTGTCGTCGTGATCGGCCGAGATGTCGCTTCTGTTCACGTAACCACAACTCCGCCGCCTGTGCCCAGAAAATCAAAGACCACCTTAATAGTGGTGGGGTGGGCTATGTAATTAATCCCAGATGTTGTAACTGTGGCGGCCGGCACAATGCTGACTCACGGCAATGCCCCAATCGCCCGTCTGTCCCAGGGGAAAAGCCTCCCCGAAGGCCAAGTCTACCACAACGCCCCCCCCCCAGTCTTCCGGGCCACACCCCCCTGTGTACCCTGTGTCTCCAGCAACGCCTTCTTCAACAACACCTGCCTCTGCCTGGCCTCATCTGGCTACAACACAGCAGTCCCGGCCGTCTCCTAACTCAACTACTACTGGGCCTCCTCCCGTCTCTACTCTGAGGCTGTCAGGCCTTGTGCTCCCACCGGTGCCCCCCCACAACCCCCCGCCAGTGACATGACACAGATCATATCCCTCTTCCAAGAATTTACCAACCGTATTGAACAACTCTTCGCTACACTCTGTACCACCATCTCCCACCTACTCCTGCCCTCTGTTGCCACCCAGTCACTCCTCTCTGCTGGTTTGACACAAGCTGTTGGTCCCCCTGTGAGCCCCCCCTGCTCACGGCCTACTCCACCGCCGGCGGCCTTCACTACTGGTGTAGCGCCTACCGGGCCTGCCCTGGTGTGTCCTGCTGCCCCCGAGCGAAGTCCTGCCCCATCCTCACAACACTTGGTGCCTCAACCTGTCCACCACCCACCGCAAGCCGCGCCCGCTCCCGTGTCTGAGCTGTCTCCACCAGGGCTACCTGGACCTGAGGACACCACCCCCGGCTACCTGTACCCCACCGACATGTCGACGAACACACCATCACAATAACACTAAAAGGTGTGTCCCTCAATGTTGTCAATGCCTATGTGCCTCCCCCCACCCCTACTGTACCTGCCCCACCACACCATATCACCTCCACCCCCACTGTACTTCGCCACGCCTAGTACATTGGCAACCCTGAGCCTGGCCGCACTGTTTGTAAACTTTGTGGTCAACAGACTCTCACACCCTCTTTCACCACATCCTCATTTGCCCTATGACCTCCCCCTACAGGGGTGGCACCTCTTCCCTCCCTGACCAGATATCCCTCCTCCTAGTGACAGGCCTGGCACTTGACATTATTAGGGACCTGCCACACTTTGCCATAAACAGATAAATTGTACCGGGAATTTTCCCCCCACACACTCATCATTGTCACTTTATGTAACTTACTAACAGTAGATAGATTTTCTACTTTTCGGGAAAGTAGATAACCAATTTTCCCGGAAAGTAGATATTTCCCATTTTTTATGATACAAAATTTCCCGTTTTCTATGATAATCTACTTCGCAAAATTAGGTAATATTTCCCCCAAAATTCGAAAATCAACTTCCCCGAAAAGTCGATAATCTACTTTCCCGAAAAGTAGAAAATCTATCTACTTTTCGGGAAAGTAGATAACCAACTTTCCCGGAAAGTAGATATTTCCCATTTTTTATGATACAAATTTCCCGTTTTCTATGATAATCTACTTCGCAAAATTAGGTAATATTTCCCCCAAAATTCGAAAATCTACTTCCCCGAAAAGTCGATAATCTACTTTCCCGAAAAGTAGAAAACAACTAGTTAGGCGGAGGTAGAGTCTCAGTCCTTTTCTTCCACCATCATCAAACTTTGTTGCTGTTTCTTCACTTTGTCTTCTTTGCATCTTGAGGTAAAATGACATAAAAATACTACTCATCTGTGTCGACTACAACACAACTGGGGCAAGGTGTTCCAGTTTGGCCACCATACCCTCCTCGTTTGTTATGATGAGGTCAAGTGGCTTGGGTGTTTGCTCCCCTCTGTAATGTGTCGGGTCTCTCACATGTTGGAACAGAAAATTATCTCTCAGAGTTTCTACAAAAAGAGTAGCAGGGTTATTCAAGTCATTCAGGGTGGACTCGTTTCTCCAGTCGATGTCGCCATAGTTAAAGTCCCCCATGATAAGGAGGTGGCTAGGGTTGAGCATCGCCGCATTGTTTATTAAGGTTCTTAAGTTCCTTTGATTTAGTGGGCCACAGTTTGGGGATCTGTAGATACACCCGACGATAAGTAAGTCCCCTCCCTTTAATTTAATTTTACACCACTTGGACTCTTCAAAAACATCCTCTCCCTGTACCCTCGCCTGGCTGGCTCTAAGGTCTTGCCTAGCGTAGATAACCACACCCCTCCTGCAAGTTTCTTGAGAAAGCTTCGTAAATGAGTCATATTCAGCAATACTGAACTCACATTCTTCTGGATCGATTCTCCTGTTCTTGTACAACAGTTCTACAACACCTACAATATCTGGTTGGTGTACTCTTAGTAGTGTTTCAAACTCCTCTCTCTTATCAAGGAACGTGTCAGTATTAGTGTACATGACATTCAAGCCAGAATTTGTTCTCGGTAACTTCTCTGCTCTTAGTAATAAACCCGCTCCCCTCCCCACCCCATTCTCAGAAGCTGCATAATTTGCTAAGTACACTGTATTTTGCAGGGTGTGGTTAGAAATTGCCATTGTTTACACGGCGTTCGCCTCCTCCTGTCCGGTAGGCTGAGTTGGTGCCGCCTCCCGGGTGGGGGGTTGAGTGGGTGGAGGGTGCACTGCTGCCCCCTGGCCCTGTGTCGGCACACTTGTTTCCACTACCCTCCCCCTGAGTATAACCCATGCACACCTGTCCCCGTTCCTCCTCGACTCCTCCCTCTTCTGCTTCAAGTCCTGCAGGAGCCTCTGCATTACCGTGCGATCTGGGTGAATGAATACATCCCGAAATGCCTCACTCCTTGCTAAGTTTTTTGCCTGCCGAATAACCTGCCATTTCTCCTCCTCACTCACTAGTGTGATCCTGAGGGGGTGAGGCGTAGCCCCCTGCTTTTGTCCCAGCCTCCTCACACCCTGAGGGGTTGATGGAATCTTCAGAACCTCTGTACAAATATTTTGAAACAGCACCTTATCGTGTGTTTCCTTACTCGCAGTTCCCTCCGCCTGGCTCTCTGGGACTCCAAAAACTATTACATTGTTCCTGCGCTGGAGACGTTCCTGGTGTTCCTCCTCTCCCCTAACAGTAGGTCGTTAATTTTCATTCCTTCGACACACTTCTTCAAAGTCCCAAGCTGTTGTAGAACCTGTTCTGATCCTGCATTACTCTCCGCCCCCTCCCGTGGCCCTGCTAATACGTCAGCATAACTCCTCTTAGCAATCACCTCCATTCTATCGGCTACTTCCTCAGTCTTAGCAAGAATCTCTTTCCCAACTTGCTCCAGTTTGGCAACCAGCAAGACTCTAGCTTCATCTATTTTCGTCCCCAGAGAACTCGTTCCCTTGTGGCTTGCAATCGCTTCATTCACCTTGACTATGCAGCCAGGGCAATACCAGCAACAGCCATCATGCTTTACGGCAGTTAGTATTTTCCTAAACGTTGCATTAGTCAGGCCTGTGTCGTCCATATGCGGCGTCTCCCTGCAGTAATCACATATCAAACTCATGGTTGTTGTTGTGGGGTTGGGGGGATGCAGACTGTGTATAGATCTACACCTATTTAAAAAAAGTAAAGAAAGAAAAAGAACAGTACTTAGCTCCTCTCTGTTGCCTATAGAGTTGTCTTCTGCAAATGCATACACTGTATCTCCCTGTGAATGGTGTATTGTAGGCACAGTTTCAGTTCCTTGAGAAAGCACACAAACAAAATAAAATTTAAAGTCTCTGTGGTCCCTATAACACGACTTGGTTTCAGCTGGCACGGTGCCTTTCCAGTTTGCTTGCTAACTAGCGCTCACTTTAAGTTATTTACAACTTCCGTGGTCACTGATGAACTATCACTGTGTACACTGTATCTCCCTGTGAGTGGTGTATTATAAACACAGTTTCAGTCCTTGAGAAAGCACACAAACAAAATAAAATTTAAAGTCTCTGTGGCACCTATGATACGAATTGGCTGGCAGTGGTCCTTACCAGCTTGATTGCCAATATGTATTAAATTTAAGTTATTTACAGTCTCTTCTGCGGTCACTGATGACACTATGAACTGGTTTACCTAAAATCACAATACTACACTCCCTGGTTGGCCTTTATCACAGCTGTGACCACAACTCCTTAAAAAAAAAAATAAATAAAAGCTTTGTCATGTGGTTATAGGCCTCGTGACCTTGGCTGTACCTCCAACTCGGTGGAAATTGAGTTTTCAAAAATACAATCGCGTCTAGCATTAAAAGTCCTACATCGATTTACACTTTCACATCACTAAGACGATCTTGACAATCTTATGTAATCACTGTCCAATTTCTGCCGCTCTACATCGAAGGCCCGAATGCCGAACACGCTTTGTTACAGAGACGCAACACGACCCGACCCGCCCGCCCGCTCTCTCTCCTAGACTCAGTGTGCTAAATGACCGCTCTACTTCGCAAGTGGAGGCTGAAAGTGTCAGAGAGATCAGTAGGTCTTCTCGAATAGCCCACTACAGGTACTTCAGAAGATCCATCAAGGACCAAGTTACACCAGAATCAAATGCAGTTTTCCTCTATGAATGTTGACGGTGTCCACATTTCAACCCAGGTCTGTAACTTCCCAGCAAAATTATCGATGTTATGGATATCTTTTTACCGAGCCACTTTTTTCTTATACAGTATTCTGCAACCACTGGATCTTTTCTCACATTTCCACCATAACTTGGTTTGAATACCATAAATTGGTTACCATATCGCCGAGTGTGTAACTTACAAGGAGCTTTGAGTATCTGAATTGCAGAAATGCATACTTCACGAACATAATTTTCAATATACAGCTGCTCCCCGACTTACGACAGGGGCCCATATCCAGGTCGTAAGTCGAAATGGTCGGAAGGCAAAAATGCTTAAATAATACATAGAAAATCTAAAATGGGTGTCTTTCTTCTCAGCACCACAAAACTCTCACTTTTAAGCTTGCCAGCCAATTTAAAGTGAATTACAAACAAAAATTTTGTCAGTACACAGCGCAATCACTGACGTTGGGACTCCAAAATACGTAATTTGAAAAAATTTTGGTACGACTGAGGGGGTCGTATGACAGGGTGGTCGTAAATCAAGTAGGTCGTAAGTCGGGGAGTAGCTGTACTGTATTTTTCTACTAATAGGGTGCTCGTTCCTCCTAATACCCTCATTATCACTCCATGACTTTCCAATGACTGTACTATACTGAAACCTGAGTCTTTCAAAACTTTTTCAAAGTTCTTGCTAACAAAATAGAATGAATATTTTACGATCTGCCAAATTCAATTCTGACAACAGAGGGTGAACAAATGTTCTGTAGCTGAAAATGTTTTAGAGGTGAATGAAACAGCATACTGTAAATAAATATATTTTTTTAGTTTATTTACTGAAAGGAAAACATACAAAATATTTTGATTCATAACACAATTGCGTGATACGATTCAAACCACAACATATAGCCCATTTACGCATACATAAACATTCTCTCAACTGTAAACTACATATACATCACACTTGAAAATTGCACTAATTTATACAAATACAGTCATCAATAAAATGCAATGTGACAAACACTATGGGTTTCATCATGTCCTAGCCTACAATTCTTTTCTAAATAATTCTTGTAGATATAAATTTAAAAAATGATAAAGTTCCAACAGTTATAAATACATTTTACTGAATGAAACTAAATATTCTGCCCACTCAATTAAATTTGGCAAGTCTTTTAGAGTAAAGAAATCTGAAAGGAAATCCATAGGATGTGTTTCCAGTAAAATTTTTGTATGTTTTTTTTTTCTTTTAACCGTCTCAATTTAGCTTCCTGAGTGTGGTAAGTTGTTGGTGAAATGACATATACACATCTCCTAATCACCAATAATGATGGAAAACTTCAAATTCTTTCAATTTTCTAAATTGTAAAACTGTGCATTTGTTAAACTGGTAGAACCTCGTCCTGAACCAATAGATCTTTTCTATCAACTACAACAGTGCTTTAAGACTCGTCCTTAATAAACTCAATTGCATTCATGTCTTCAAAATATCACATAAAATGGATCATAATTCAACTGGTTATTTCACGTTGATTCATTGACAGTGAAATTATTATAAGTTCCTATTTCCACAAGTACAGTAATGTCCGCCCTGGTGAAAAGTTTTAGTTAAATCTGACCTCCCTACTCAACGCAATGATCCTCTGTGACCACTCCTCGTAAGTAACACATGACCAAGAATTAAATCTTGGAATTTTAAGTGATAAGATTACTATAGCCCTACAAATAAGTGGCAGTGCCAAGAAAACATTATGGGGAGGGTACACTATAACCTGTGATGGCATACTAATTAACATATAAATATTCATGTACAGTACCTTAGTTAACTGTCTAGCATACCATTACTACACTTCTTAGTTTTAGAATATCCAGACTCACAGAACACTGCAATCTACAGCACTCTATTTAGAGCTACGTCCTCAGTCAATTTTGGAGGAAACGTGAACCCCTTCCCCATACACTGCTACCTTACACTGTCCTTACGATACAAAATGACTTTGTGACTGTAACTTCTTGTTTTGGTTCATCGTAGTTCTTCACTCTACTTATAACAGTTTACTCAAGGTTTCAAACAATCATTGCTAAATTATAGAAGAAAAAAAAGATTCTCAATCCATTTATGGCTAGTACTGTATGTACATACTGTATAGGACAATTGTTTCACATCTGTCATTACCAGATACAATGGATGTAAGAGGATTAGAATTAATTTATTCATTACACTGATAACTCAGAATGCAAAATACTGTTTATCCAATATGCCATCTTATCATTTAATAATTCCGGGAGGGGTTTGCACTCCCCTGTATTATAGTACTGGACCATCATTGTTAACTTCTACACCTTCAGGATATCTGTAGTAGAATAATATATCTAGAAATGTGTAAAAAACTAATGCCATCATGAAACTGATGGATATTCATGAATTATTGGTAAAATACATTGAAGTTTACTGCTTCAAAAATAGTTTAAGAAGTTATGCTACTTATTAATCACAAAAACTGAGAAAATTCAGACAGTGAAATGACTGAAGGTATGCGTTGTTGCAGTTTCCAACATTATTATAGGCATTATTCTGCCTATTAAAATGTCCATAAACTCAGAACAAAAAAGTATTAAAAATGTCATGAATTGACTAAGGATAGAAATAAAAGTTTTTGATGAAACTTAAAGAACAACATCATAGACCGTAAAGGGGGTGATTCACTTTTTCTTTGTGTTGGACCTTGTAAGTTAGTAAAATTTATTTTATGAAGTATCAGTGATGTGAGTTTAGTTTTAAACATGCAAAATGTGTTAATGTGGGTGCAGTTGCAAAACTAACTTGTGAATTCAGAGTTTGCTGGTGTTACATGGTTCGCTTAACCTGATTCTTGTTAAATATACTGATGAAAACTATTATGGGTTAAGTCTACATGGTATCTACTGTAGCTATCATTGATCGGTGAATGAAAGAGTACAGGATGTGGAAAGACTGGTGATAAGAGTGATTGTTAGATCAGACTGACTAAACCAAGAGCTTATGGGTGATGGTGACGCATACACCACACAGGAGGGACCACAGTAGAGCGTGAGGGGTGAGGCTACCTCCTCCTGCCGTGTAGAGCAGCACACCTCGGTATCGGATGTTGGGTACTACATGCTCTGGAAAGGAAAGAGAAATTTTAAGTCAGCGTAGGATAAAATCATTTTATTCAGAGTTATATAAGTACAATTGATACTGTACTTCAATGTGTCTCAGAGGTCAAATTTATTTACTGTTTTCAGTTTTTCACTAATGCACTATTTTTCAATTTAAATTTTGAATTGTGTTCTCTGTAGAATGCAGTTGTATTCATATTAATGTATCTTTCAGTGATCACTATTGGTTTTTTTTCAACTGTATTTGTTTTACCAAACTCTGAAAGTAGTACCCTGTTTTAAGGTGGACGATTTCTTTAGTGAATATTTAGATTATAATGTTTTCGTATCATTACATGGTCTGTATAAACTTGACTGCTTTAGCTCAGGAGCACTGTCTCAATGTAATTTATGTTATTTTTGTGCTGTAGATAATTTGAACCAGATTATGGGCACTCTTATCTCAGAACCTTTATGAACCTGGACCATGGTTCCTCAACTTCTTACCTGGATGTCTTCCTATTCTGTACTTAACTGTATATAAGTAATTCTGTCCTTGATTTTAACATTGGATATGTATATCAAAGACATTCTTGGTGCTCAAAGAGTTTCCATGCATTACATGCTCTTGACAAACAAATTAAAGAGCAATCTAAAAGAAGAGACTACAATATAAATTACATGTTGCCAGCTAGGCATTCTAGATGCTGCCTACCTCTTTAGTTCCTGAGGAAGATAGCAGCAAAGAAGGCGAGGATAGCCAGGACGGAAGGCGTGGGCGTGTGGGCAGCAGAGTAGCCGAGGTGGCCACACGCCGGCGGGCACACGGGCGTGGTGGTCTCTACAACAGCCACAGAAATACAAGTCAAGATAGGCAAGACACAGGTTAACTATGGCAACTCTCACATGACGGCATGTTGATACACTAAAAACCTTGTGAGCTTACAGATACAGTGAAGAGGCAAGAGACAGATTATATAGCTATGGCAACTCTCATGACTATGGCATTTTCATACACTAAGACCCTTGTGAGCTTACAGACTGTGCAAGTGTTCTTAATGAAGGTTGCAACACGTGAGGTTTTCTTTAGCGTGCAATAAATTTGAATTAAGTTTAGGTGAAATGAGGTGTATCTCACTGTCAGTATCATGTGAGGCAGATGTCAAATGAAACGTGAATTAGGAGCAGGCATGTTCTCATTCAATTTTAGAGGCAATTTTTAGTGTCTTTAAATGCATTTATTTAAATTTATTCATGCACTTGCTCATTCTTTGCTAGAAAACATGCTTTTATATTGCAAGAAGGGCCAGGCTGAGCCTAAAACTTGTGTATGAACATGTAGAAAGAGCCACATGGTGTTTATTAAGTCCCTGATACTTGTGTTTACTGGAGGAAGTTACACAACCAAAACACCAACATTGTCATGTCTGCATTACAGACAAAATACAGTTCTGTGCAGAAAATAGAGTACAGTACAGTACATGGCAATGTTTTGGTTGTGTAATGAGTAATCCTTGAAAGGAATCGGCAAATATAGATATATTAAGATGTTTTGTGACCATCCTGTACAGTACTTGTAAATCTGCCAGGAGCTTATTAAATTACTGTACTATACTGTGCTACTGTATGTATACTGTACTGTAGGGATAAAGTTTAGAACACAGTACTTGTAAATCTGCCAGGAGCTTATTAAATTACTGTACTATACTGTGCTACTGTATGTATACTGTACTGTAGGGATAAAGTTTAGAACACAACATGTTACAGCAAGGTACAGTACAGTATTTGGTATTAAAGGCTTTGAACCTTCTAATTGTTGGTAATTTATTATGTTAGCTTATTACACTAAAAATTAAGTACTGTAAAGCACTTGGTGTTTGCTCTCTCGTGTGTGGAAAAGGTACATTAAGATATTAAATGTTATTGAGAAAAAAAATAAAATTTTAACTGAATTTATTTTTACACACTATAAAGCCCCCCAAATCCCTAAAATAATACGTGGTGTGTAAACTACCGAGTTATTGTACTGAACACTTCATGTGAAATGCTTTCTAAACATGATTTAAAATTCTTATAAAACCTTAATTAATTTTCTTCTTACATACACTGTGTAGAAAATTAACCTGAAGTAAACTAATTATTACTACGAAACTAAAAAATATATTATGGTTTACCGATGAGCTGAACTGTAGCTGAAGACTGGCCGAGCTTGTTGGTGGCCATGCAGGAGTAGTTACCAAACTGGCGCTTCTCAATGCTCAAGACACGGAGAGTTGTATCTGTGAACTCATCAGCAGTGGCAAACTGGGAAACCCTGTGTAAATAGAACTTATACTTAATGCCGAATTGTTGGCAAGATAATTTAAATGAAGTATTGTGTGTAATAAGGGAAATACTGTAATCTATACAAATTATTTCCAAACTAAAGTATAGTATTACAAGTTCAGTACTACAGTACTGTACTATCATTCCTATCAGGCAGGAAGAGATGCTTTGGCTTGTGATTAGGCTGTTAGTTACTTATACAGTAAAATACTTCTTAACAAAACAGTGGCAGCCATGTAAACATTAATCCTTCTTACTGTTTCTTGGTTTAGGTGTTTCAACTGCCAAGGTTTTCTATAATTTTTTTTTCTACTTTCAGACAGATGAACAACAAAAAAGTGTGTATAGTTTGGGAAAGATAAGAGGGAAAGTATCAGATTGCACTCACCGAAAGTGCTGGTTGTTAACAATGGACTCTTGCTTATGGACCCAAGTAATAGCAGCTGGTGGGTACGCTTCAACATGGCACTCCAGATCCATGTCGTATTGAAGAGCCTGTGGGAGACGTGACGGTAATAGTGTCAGGGATCATTGTTTTTGTTGTAGTTCCTGATTCCCACAAATGTTTATAAATCTAATAAATTCCCATTTTTTCAACATTTTATATTGTTTGAAGGGCAAGAATTTTTATACACCATCATTAGGAAAAGTAGGAAGAAAAAACAGATAACCATATCAATGTGACAGTTCATTTGGGTCTCAACCATAACTATCCATTAGGGAGAGTGTGAATACAACACACTGTATGATTAGCCTTTGGTATGTAACGAGGCAGTATGGCACTCAACAGTCTTCACTTCCCTAACTCTATAAAGTAAGGTACCCATTCACAGATAGGTGGACTAGGAAAGCCTTGGGATCAAACCAGCTACACTCAGTACAGGAGATGAGTTCTGTACCCACTTGGCCACTGCCCTCCTGCATAATAAGGTAACAAGTAGAAATACCCACACATACTTCCTCACACTCATCTTGCACACTTTTGATCCATAAAATTACAAAAACATTTGTTCACACTTTAAATTTACACACTTTCATTCTGTAGAAGTAGCATTACCTACCTGATAGACCCGGGGACGTGTGGCCTTCACAACAGGAGAAAACTCAACTTCGACGTTAATGTTCCTGCGAGCACCACGCCCCACCTGGTTCTCAGCAATGCAGTAGTAGGTGCCACGGTCCTCCTTGCGGATGTTTGCAATCTGCAATACGTTACCCCTGTGTGTACGTACAGTTCTGGTTAATAAAGAATGTAGTAAAGAGATGTAAAATAGTAGTACTGTGCACATGCATATTACATTCATGTTCATATTCCCGGAAATTCTAAATTAGTCCATACTTATTTCAACGAATCTTGATACCTGTAATTAAAAAAGTTTGTATTATTAGTTAACAAAAGAATAACATAATATTTCACAAGGAAAGTTCAGAAACAACGTATTCTTGAAAACTAACCTATAGATAGAACCACCTGTAGGGAGAATAGCATTGTTTTCCCTCCTCCAGGAGATCTCTGGGATAGGCATTCCTCCAGCATAGCACGATAACTCCACACTGTCGCTCTCACTCGCCACCACCGACCTGAAAAAAGATATTATTATCATTATTCACAAATCAGCCTAAAAAATTCATAACTAGTTTTGTCAGCTCTGAGGCCTATCAGTACAGTATATGCACCCGAGAGAAGAAAGGAAACTAAAGCAATGGGACATCTAATTAAACACAGTAATAAAAATAGTACTGTATAAATGCACTTGTTGCCACCAAATGAATCTCGGGAATTTTATTTTGACAATCAATAGTTCAGAAAAATCTAAGACACTTTTCTTCTATGATGTTTCTCTTGGAAACGACCTACAATGTGCCGAAGGATCCAGGGAGGCTATTAAACGCCATTAACTGGGTTTATTTTTTATCCTCCAACAAACAACAACTTCAAGAGAAAAATGACACTGTACCTGGTTGAGTTGTCGGAAATAACTGGAGGTCTGCGGACGAGGAGGTTGACGTTTGCTGTAATGCGGTTGTTGATGCCGAGGAGGACCTGACACATATAGTCCCCTCCGTCACTCTCCTGGATGTCCTTAATCTGGTGAAAAATAACAAACATATCATGACATTGTCTGGTAATTCACAGGAACCATTAATTTCAAAGGTTTTAAATATGGTAATGTTTAGTTCAAAGGTGCAGATCTCTCTCCTCCCAGGCATACAGTACAATAGCATTCTACCGGATTTTGGATTGGTTAGTATTAATGCACGTAAAGTTATAAAGGTAAAATCATGATGGAGTAAGTACTTTTTTTTTTCCAAGGATCATGAATTTTTTTTTAGATGACACAAAACAACATAATCTAATCTAGTTAAGTGAGCTTCAGTTCGGCTAGTTTAGAGCAGAAGAGTTTAGTTTAAGATGGGTTGGGTTTGGTTTGGTTAAGATAAGTCAGACTAAAGTGAGTTAGGCTATACTGGGTTAGGTTAAGCTATGTTAGGTTAAACTATGCTAGATTAAACTGGGTTAGATCAGGTTAGGTTATGGTACATTAAGTTAAACTATTGCCTTGGTTAAGTAAGGCTAGATTTGATTAGATTAGATTAGATTAGATTAGGTTCATGCCCTATACTAGACAACCTCACCTGCAGGATATAGGTGGCAGAGCCTTGGTCGTGTCTCAGGGCATAGCGGGAGTCCCTAATGATAAGGCCAGGACCGCTGGAGATGGGCAGGTCCTGGACATCCCCGGCGCCTTTCTTAAGCCACAACACTGGGTAGTCCTGGGAGTACTGCACTGAACACTCCAGCTGGATGCTTGACCCAATGTCAACCACCTGCTCCTTCGTGATCCAACTGATGGAGGGTGTCCGCACTGCCAGGCCTGCACGCGAAAAGAAATGCAAAATACGTTAGTTAAGCGTTCTGTGAGACCAAAGTGTGAAGATATATATATATATATATATATATATATATATATATATATATATATATATATATATATATATATATATATATATATATATATATATATACACACGACCCCCTGATGGAGACACGATGATCCTCCCCATACTGGCCAGAGATTATGTAAATAACATTGATTATGTGTTTAAGGAATATCCTTCCTTCCTTAGGCTTTAGTAAGCCCCTTTATAATATTTATACTGTATATACTTGTCACACTTGCCAGATGCTTCTGGTGTCATTGTACAGTGGTACTGTAGTGGATTTCTCCCCTACAAACGCTGTTTGTCGTTGCGTAGCCGACCCCGCGATTTCCCGTGTATGCCTCGTGGTCTGGGTCAACCAGCGCCGCCATACATCACGGAGGTCAACTACTAAGCCACGCCTACCCCCGCTATTTAAGACCTGACCTCGTGGTGACCTCCCTCTTCTTCTAGCTACAGCAAGCCACCTCCTCTTCCGCCGCTGCTGCCTGGCGGCCCTCGCTCCCGCCGGCGACCCACAAGCTGTCCTCCTCTGAGCATCCTCACCAACCAGCTCTCTCTACTCAACGCTTGCAACCAACCCATACCTTGCAATGGTGACCCCCGGAGACTCGCACCCACACAGGATGGAGGAGAAACCGATCACTCTCCCAGTCTTCAAGCAACATGGAAGACTGGCTTATCCACCCAGAAGCAGCTCTCATCGGCTCTACAGCTACTGTCTCTAAGCCGCAGGTTAGACACCCTAGAACAGCTCTGCTACTCTAAGCAGATCAGCCGCTCCTCTTCCTGCCCCAAGCACCACGTTCTATCGACCCCAACACACCCGTCCTGCCTCAGACGCCGCCCCCGGCCCAGCAGTACCCCCTGCCGCTCATCCTGACGCGGCCCCTGCTCCTCACGCGGACCGACAAACCCCTCATTTCTCCCTCAGGTACTCCCTGATACTGCCCTGCACCCTGCTGCTGTCGTGGACCCAGCTGCTGTCTCGAGCCTTCATCTGCTTCTGCTGACGCAGCCCTTGCTCCTGACCCAGGCCCACACACCCCAGCAGGCGCATCTGACGACTCTGTACCTGTCGCGAGTGAAGCACAGCATTCATCGCCTCCACAACCCTCTTTCTCCCTCTCTTCTCCCACAGATCTTGTTTTTAGACAGTTGCCTCCACTAGCGGCCGGCTCATCCACGCCATCGCCGTTACGTTTCACACGAGGCATGCACTGCCCGTTCTGCCTCACATGTGCCATGCAACCCTGCAGACAACAAGTCTCCTACACCGCCTGGAGGGAAGGAGGGAGAATTGTAGTGGATTTCTCCCCTACAAACGCTGTTTGTCGCTGCGTAGCCGACCCCACGAATTCCACAGTGTATGCCTCGTGGTCTGGGTCAACCAGCGCCGCCATACATCACGGAGGTCAACTACTAAGCCACGCCTACCCCCACTATTTAAGACTTGACCTCGTGGTGATCTCTCTCTTTTCTACCTACACCAACCAGCCAGCAACACCTCCTCCTCCTCCGCCTGCCTGGCGGTCCTCGCTCCCGCCGGCGAGCATGGCGACCCACAAGCTGGTCCTCCTCTGAGCATCCTCACCAACCAGCTCTCTCTTCTTCTAGCTACAGCCGCAGCAAGCTACACCTCCTCCTCCGCTGCTGCCTGGCAGCCCTCGCTCCCGCCGGCGAGCATGGCGACCCACAAGCTGCCCTTCTCTGAGCATCCTCACCAACCAGCTCTCTCTACATCACGCTTGTAACCACGCTGCCACTTCCCAGCACCAAGCTGCATTGTACATCCAATACAACATGTATACAGAGAGCACATTGTGAGTTTCTTTTCTCCTCCATCCTGTGTGTGTGTCACTCCGGGGTCACTATATATATATATATATATATATATATATATATATATATATATATATATATAAGTATCACTGTATAAGCATCTGTGAATTACACGAAGCGCTTGGGAACTTATATTTCTTCTTTCCTTGTGGTTATATATATATATATATATATATATATATATATATATATATATATATATATATATATATATATATATATATGTATATATATATATATCCAGTTGTTCTAGTTGATGTCTTTGAATAAAGCATTTGTTAAGGTCCCTGTTTCCATTTTCCCGTGTGATTTTATCAAGATTATCCATCCACGCTTTCATTGTGGATTATATACACACATACATCATGTATATACACACATACATACAATACATATATATATATATATATATATGTATATATATATATATATATATATGTATATATATATATATATATATATATATATATATATATGTATATATATATATATATATATATATATATATATATATATATATATATATATATATATATATGTATATATATATATATATATATACATATATGTATATATATATATATATATATGTATATATATATATATATATATATATATGTATATATATATATATATATATATATATATTTACTGTTATCCAAATTAATATATTCTATATTTATTTTGTAGGTCATGAGTGCTCATGCGACGTTAATAACAACTACGGGTACGTGTGTACACACACACACACACACAACGTAAACACCTAGAAAAAGTGCAAAAGAGGGCATGCAAGATTATTCTCTCCCCTTCCTACTCCACATATCAAGAAGCGCTCAACACACTGACCCTTTCGACTCTCACTGACCATCACTACGACCTCATCTGCAAATTTGGTAAGAAGTTTCTACACCATCCTCGACACCGGCTCCTACTACCACCTGAGATCCCTAGCCTGAGAATTGCTGTTCGACACCACAACCGTATCCAGTCCATACGTGCACGAACTGATCGCTATAAGAACAGCCCAGTCCCAACCATTGTAAAAATTATCAATAACTTGTAATAAACCAGTGTATTCACTCCCAGTAAATACTACTTCTTGCACTGTCACTATGTTGAAATGCCCTGTAGTTTGAGCTTTTCCCCATCTAGTTATTATATGTCTTATTTGTGTCACTTACAGTATGTTACTTGTATATTATTTGTAACTCTTAACCCATTCCCCAAATATGTAACTGTATATTTTCAGCCTTCTGGCTGCCAAGCTCTTTCAATAAACCGTTAATTATTATTATTATTATTATCACACACGGGCGGGCAGGCACACACACACACACGCACACACACGCACGCACACACACACACGCACGCACGCACACGCACGCACGCACGCACACACACACAAACATGCATCAGCAGCGAGACGAATAGCGAGGGAAGACTGAACAATGGCTCACCAATTTATAAAAATGACAGATTGAGAGCTGAATGCAGTAATTGGCAAACGGGTGGTTGAAAGAGCAGATGTGGGCAAAAGTGTATGAGGGAGGGAGGGAGAGGAGGGAGTGGGGAAGGAGGGAGGGGTGAGGGAGAGAAAAGAGTGAGTAGGGAAAGAGGGAGGGAGTGGGGGAGGTGGGAGGAAGGATAGATGGGTGAGGGAGGTGGATTGATGGAAGGAGGGGAGAAGGATGGTAGGAGGGAGGAAGGATGAAGGCGGGAAGGGGAGGATGGTGTTGGGGTAGGTTATGTTGGAGGTTTGGGGAGAGAAATTACATGGTTGGAGAGGCAAGAAAAGGCATTTTAGGGACAGGCCAAGGATGATAGCGGTGGTGAGGGAAGACGAGAGGAGGATGGAGGAGGAGAGGAAAGAAGAGAGGAGGAGAAGGAAGAAGAGAGGAGGAGGTAAAAGGAGACGAGAGGATTGAGTAGTTGTTATTGAAGGAAGACATGAGGAGAGAGGAACAACCAGGGATTGGTTAAGTGCTTGCATCTCCTGCCTTTGAGTACGATGACTTAACCCTTTGAGTACGATGACAACCCTTTGAGTACGATGAATTAACCTCTTGGGTATGATGACTTAACCCTTTGAGTATTATGACTTAACCCTTTGATTACGATGAATTAACCTATGAGAATATTTGAGCACAATGACAACCCTACATTACGATGACTTAACTCCTTGAATATGATAAATTAACCTTCGAGTACAATGACTTAATTCCTAAATTACAATGTCATCGTACTTGAGGATTTAAGACATCGTACTCAAGAGGAATAAGACATCGTACTCAAGAGGAATAAGACATCGTACTCAAGAGGATAACATTGCTCGGTGGGGATAATTAGCTTTCGTTAAGGTTAGTGTCTTCGTTATTCGTCTTGTATGTATTTCACCTTTTTTTCTCCTATTTCCTTAATATTATTATTTTTTCTTATTTGGCGTTTGATGGTGGGGTGGTGGATCACGTGAAGATTAGACACCCCAGTTTATTTCACCTGATGATTAAGTAGCCTACCTTAATGCTTCCTGGTGGTGTTAGGTTAGGTTAAGTGGAATGGTTTGTAGGATTGAGTTACTGCCTTCCTACCCTCCGTCGTGTTCTTGGGAGCAGAGTGGTACAGCAGGGTGATGGCGATAATGGTGAAGGTGTGGTCATATGTCAACAGATAACGGCACAGTGGCTATCAGAAAATTACAGAGGGCTATTTAACAGCCTTCCCTACTACTCGCTTTGCACAGTAGTAACGTAAGCCCAGGGGGGAAAATTAGTCCCAAGGCGTTGAGGTCCCGTAGGTCAGAGCTCATAACGGTAATGTGGGAACTGTGGATCGCCCGGTAGCCCGCCAGAGGTGAAGTGTATCACTCGCATTACCATAATAACGATGGTCATATGATCCCCGCTTCTTAACCCGGCTCCCACAAGGTCGGAAACCTCCAGCCTCAACCCTGACAACCCCGCCCGTCCCTGCTCAGCCGCCTGTGAGAACTACCTTGTGATTTATAGTTAACTTTGAATGGTCTCAATTTATAAAGTGTGTTTGGCGTACAACTATATTGGTCCCTCCCCCTCCCGCTTTTGTCAGCGCCCCACCCCGGCCCGCCATATCGCCCCTCACACTGCCCACCTCCTTTACCTCAATAAAGCAAACGGTGATTTTTTTTTTTTACACCTATCGTTGCGGGTTTATCCTTGCAGGGGTCTGGTAGCACAGCTGATTACCGCCTCACTGGTGGTGGGGGGATTAACAACCAGTGATTGGCATCTCTACTAAAACTATCACCACGAGGGTTACTCCACCACCCGTCATCACCACCACCGCCCCTCACTATCATCCCTCATCACTACCTCTCACCATCACCAACCACCCGTCATCCCTCATCATCACCACCACCCCTCACCACTACCAGCTGAATCCCTTCATCATACCTTCACTGTTCACGATTCGAAGTCGATACGATACTGATTTTTAGCGCGCATGTATATGTGTGTGTTCTTCCCTAGATATTAACATAAACACGAAAATTTAAGAAAACAAAAAATAGAGAGAATATATGATTAAGTAGAGGTTAAAATATTAATAACTTTTTATTTATATGAGAATCCCGTAATGATGCTATTTGTCTACAAACTGTCCAGGGAGTATTGTGTACAAGTGTACGCGGAGTTAGGTAAGTACAGCATAAGGTTATATACACCAGTTAAATCACTGATCCTGAATGGAGAGAGAGGTAGGTTGGCCAGAACCAACCAATAGTACAGCACATACGGGAAAGCGACATCAATATAAATATTCATCATGACAACAAAGCATTAGACAGAGGTGAATAAATCATCATACGCTCCAGCTAGCAGATACATATTGGTGCAATCTCCACAGCAAGACACCAAGCTGTACAGATATTAGTGTATCAAGCCTCGCCGGCAACATACAGTACATGTTTGCAGTTGTTGATAGAGTGAGTAATAAGCTCAGAAGCCAAGAGATTAGGTCAGCCAAAGTACTTGTCTCAGTTTGTGGTAGTTACGTGGACCTCCTACCTGCTAAAGGGTAGGGGGCGTCCTCTGGCTTGTAGGAGTGGACGTGTACATTAATGGGTCGTAATCCACCTGTACTCACCACCACCACCACCATCACTGCCGCCATCACCGTCATTGCCGCCGTCAGCACTATCGCTAGATAGAAAGTGAGTACGTCAGCGTGTGCGTGCGTGTGTGTGTGTGTGTGTTACAGCGAACATCCCTGACCAGGTGTTCCTTGGGTGTGCCAAGATAACAGGTAGGATGTGGGCGGGTGAAGACGGGGTGTTATTGTTACATTGAATATATTGGTATACAACTGTGAATATATCAATTGTATTAAAGTGCAAAGTAAAGTTAATAAAAAATAATAAGAATCAGACAAAATTATGTTTTAGATTAACTAAGAAACATATCTTAATTATCATAAAACCTATTCTCTTTATTTACTCTTGCAAAAAAAAAAATCGTGTATCCACGTCGTAAGTACAATGGCCTCTTGATAACCTTCAATCTACGGAGAGGAAATGTACAGTCGTTTGCCTTCACCGAGTTAACTGTTCGGTGGGTACGTCGACAATGAATTTGGGTTCCATTACCAATTTCATTTGTCAATAATTTCATGTTCAATAACTGTTAATATCACTCATTAACTAGCTTATATCTCTTTATACTTATTGATTGGACACAAGCCAACAAGTGTATAGGAAGGTGTTTGTGCGTTTGTCCGGTCACTTAACCACCGTGAGACCGAGGCCTCTGTCAGGCTGTGTCTCCAGGGAGCTGACCCACTGACCCCACTCCGACGAGTTAGGACGAAGAACAACACCCTGAGGTCCTCCATGGGATCCCCTAGATTCCCCCAGGTTCTCCGAGACCTTCCCCCAAATCCTTTATATATCTCCCAGTATTTCCAAGATCTCTCATAGGTCATACACTTCCTCGGGTCTTCCAAAGGTCTCCAGAGGTTCTAAGATGTCTGCCTCCTTTATCGGAGTCCCTGTTAGACCCTTCTCAGTTTCCTCTCTTCATATCTCGATAATCTCTCTCGGGTCTCCCAGTCTCTACCCACCACCAATCTCTCCCTTAACTCCCTCAGGCGACCCAGGCACTCCACTGCCTCCCTCGTATTTCTCAGGGATTTCACGGATTCCTCCTCCTCCTCCTTCGTTTCCCCTTCCTCTCTCTCCTCAGAGCTCGACCATCCTGCACAAATTTCTTCTCTGATCTCCGAGGACTTGTTATCTCCCAAGTTCTAACTGCTTTGAAAGTTACAAATTCTGCCTTACCCATTCCCAGATCCCTACAGTAGTCCCCCCCCCCCCACCATGTGGCCTTAAAACTACCCCTTTTTCTCTGTCTCTGTTTGACTGTCAATATGAGTCAAGTCCCACCCACCAATCTCCACCACTCTCGCTCCATAATCCCTAATCCTTCAAAATCCCTACTATCCCGACCTCCACCCATTTCACCCCACCTCCCTCATTGGGCCCAAATCTCACCCTTCTCTCTCTATATATGCTTTATCTTATCCCTCTCCCCTTCCCAAATATTTCTCAATTCCACCCCTCTCCCCTCATCAAATATTCCTCAATTCTACGCCTCTCCTTTCCCCAAATATTCATCAATTTTACCCCGCTCCACTTCCCAAATATTCCCCAATCCTCCTTCTCCCCACTCCCTCATATGGTCAAATCCCTGTCGACTCCTCTCCCCCATTCTCAGGTATGTGCTAGAGGGGCCAAAGTCGACCCCCTGAAAATTAATGTCTTCAAGGCGAATTTCACGGGGCTGTCAGCTGCAGGCTTTGACCTCCCCTGTAGACTGAGACTATGATTCACCACTGGAACTATATGATTCATCGCTGGAACTATGATTCACCGCTGGAAATATTATTCATTGCTGGAACTATGCATGATTCATGGAGCTCCACAGTAAACAAACTATAACTTACGATACCCCCTTAATGTAAACAAAGTATAACTTACGATACCCCTAATGTAACAAACTATAACTTACGATACCCCCCTAATATAAACAAACTAACTTACTGTACCCCCTAATATAAACAAACTATAACTTACTATACCCTCCTAATGTAAACAAACTATAACTTACGATACCCCCCTACGAATCACTGCCACACAGCCTTTCTAATGCCTATTCTAAAAGCGCAGAGGGAAGCGTGGCGGATCAGTTAGGTGTACAGCTGTTTTTCTGGACTTTCATTCTCTGCTGTATGACAAGGACGAATAACTCAACATTGATGTTATAATTAGTAGAGTTTTATAACCTTTGGTCTGGTGGTGAATATACTATGTTGTTGTGTAGAGTATTATGATTATTATGATTGTGAGTTTTGATTGAAAATATTATTTTACTGACGTTATGATTATTATAGTCAATATTATTATGCTGTTCCCTATGCTATTATCATTACCAGGACGTCAGTGCTCGAGGATTCTGGAGGCGGGGACAGCGAGCCTTCTTTGCCATAAGGATTTTTTATCCCATGGCCGCATGTCACCGTAACCTAGCTCTCGATGCTGCACACAGGAGGAACGAGAACGACAAGATTAGGGCATATGGGGAGAGAATTCAGAACGTCGATCAGGGCAGCTTCACTCCTCTGGTGTTCACAACCTCTGGTGGGATGGGACCAAGTGCAAGATGCTTCTACGCCAGACTCACGGAGGTGTTATCTGAACGGAAGCAGCAGCCCAGAAGTTATGTTACAGCCTGGTTGAGATGTTGACTGTCCTTCTCTCTGCTTAGGTCTGCATTGCTTTGCCACAGGGGAACGAGAGCATCGGCCCCAAAGCCGACAACAGTCGCAGATATCGACTTTGAGGCAACAGTCACTGAATGCCGCATAGATCTGCGGCTCAACTAACTCAACACAGCTAGGGTAGCTACTTATGTATTAGGATATTTAATATTAAGGTAATAAAATTGTGGCGAATTAATGGCTATTGGGGGAGGCTGGAGGCCATTAAAAAGAAAAAAATAGTAGTAGTATTGTAATTAATTCATTATGTAATCAATGGTAAAGATAAATTACCATTAAAGTATGAAATTAAATTGGCTGGTGTGTGATTCAGCTGCTGGTGAGGGGAGGTGAGAGAGGGAAGGACAGGTGAGAGGTAAGGATGGAAGGGGGGGAAATGACGGAGGGGGACGAGGATGGAGGGAAGGAAGGACAGGTAAAGAGAGGGAGGGACAGGTGACAAGTGAGGAGGGGAGTGAGAAAGAGAGGGAGGAGGGAGGGAGGGAGGGATAATTAGTTTATGTCACCTTAGTGGGGAGGGAGGGAGGAGGAGGAGGGAAGGGGAGAGACGGAACCTTTTGTATAGTGACATCCCCCTGTCAGCCGTCAGGAGGGAGGGAGGAGGAGGTTGACACACACACACACACACACACACACACACACACACACGGCCGCGTCAGCAGAGTGAGATAATTAATTGCTTTGTCCATCAGGCAGGATTATACCTTCCTCACACTGGCCAACCAACCCTTCTTGGGGGCCTGGCATCCTCCCCGGCCTCTTGTCCTCCTCCCTGACCTCTTGTCCTCCTCCCTGACCTCTTGTCCTCCTCCCTGACCTCTTGTCCTCCTCCTCCTTGTCCGCTCTGGGCAAATCTGAATATGACACTGGATCCACAAGCTCCACATTTCTCTAGGCTTCTAATGGCGCACACACACACACACACACACACACACACACACACACACACACACACACACACACACACACACTCCCATCTATTGTTAAAATAATAAACAACTCCTGATTTATGTACTGTACAGCCCTGTAAATGTACTCAACGCATATTATATCATTATGTCTAAATCAAATGTAAGTCTGTATATTTTCAGCCACCGGCTGCAACTCTATTAATAAACCGTTTATTATTATTATTATTATTATTATTATTATTATTACACACACGCGATAGCAGGGGTTGAGCATATAGTTAATCTGTACAACGGTGTTGATGTTTAAGCATCAGACCTAAAAAACAAGTAACTAAGGTTTGACTGTAGACAATTATAATTTTCCTTAAATTTTAGAGGAGGGAGGGAGAGAAACCAAGACCCTCCTTCCCTCCCTTCCTCCACCCCCCTTCCTTTTCTTCCTTTCCTCCTCTCCCTTCCTCCTTCTCTCTTCCCTATTTCGAATGTATTTCCGGCCATTTTGGGATGAGTTAAGAGACCAGCTTTGTTGACCGAAGAAACAAGATGGCGTGGAAGACATGGGGTGGATGGGAGGGCGTGGAAGAGATGGTGTGGAGGGGAGGGCGTGGAGATAGAGATTGGAGGGGAGGGAGAGCGTAGAGATGGTGTGGAGGGGAGGGCGTGGAGATGAAGGATGAAGGGGAGGGCGTGGAAGAGATGGGGTGGAGAGGGCGTGAGAAGAGATGGTGTTGAGGAGGCGTGGAGAGATGCAGAGATGGGGTGTGGAAGAGGGTGGGAGGCGTGGAGAGATGAGATGAAGGGAGGGCGGGAAGAGAGATGGGGTGGAGGGGAGGGCGAAGAGATGGTGTTGGAGGAGGCGTGAGAAGATGGGGTGGAGGGAGGGCGTATAAGAGATGGTATGGAGGGAGGGCGTGGAGAGAGATGAGATGAAGGGGAGGGCGTGGAAGAGATGGGGTGGAGGGAGGGCGTAGAAGAGAGATGGTGTTGGGGAGCTGGAGATGAGATGAAGGGGAGGGCGTGGAAGAGATGGGGTGGAAGAAGGGCGTGGAAGAGATGGTGTGGAGGGAGGGCGTGGAGAGAAGAAGAAGGGGGAGGCGTGGAAGAGATGGGGGTGGAGGGAGGGCGTAGAGAGATGGGATGGAGGGAAGGGCGTGGAAGAGATGGGCTGGATGGGAGGGCGTGGAAGAGATCAGAGAGGGAGGGCGTGGAAGAGAGACCAGATGGAGGGAGGGCGATGGAAGAGATGGGATGGAGGGAAGAAGAATTTTTCTTCCTATGAGGGGTTCGTTATATGTATGTATGTATGTATGTATGTGTGTGTGTGTGTGTGTGTGTGTGTGTGTGTGTGTGTGGGTGTGTGGGTGTGTGTGGGTGTGTGGGTGTGTGTGTGTGTGTGTGTGTGTGTTTTGTGTGTGTGTGTTTTGTGTGTGTGTGACTCAAGACGACCCACAGCTGCCTCACG